ACAGTTATTGAATCGAGAACTCGAAAATGAATTTTAGCCACACAAATCATATGTGATTAGATACACACAATCACATGTTATTATATGTATCTAATCTCATATGATTTATGTGGGCAATATTCATTTTCGTCTTCTCGATGCAATAGTTGTTCTCGTGTATTTAATCACATGTGATTATACATATCTAATCACATATGATTTATGTGAATAAGATTCAAATTTGCACTATCAATTCAATAGTTGTTATCATGTATTTAATCATATGTTATTTTATGTATTTAATCACATACAATTAATATGAACAAAGAACAACTATTAAATCAAAAACACACAAAATGAATCTTGTGCATATAAGTCATATGTGATTAGATCATATAATCACATGTGATTTCATACACGAGATCAATTAAAGAATCTAGAACACATAAATGAATCTTGTTTGCTTGTCTCACTAGAAAACAAACTACATTCTGCCTTTCCTTGTTCACTCTACCGGATTAGGGTATCCGTGAACAATAACATAAAACAAGTAATGCCTACATAATAGGAGACTTAATGTAACTCGCCTCCTTGAACTTGAAAAGTAGCTAGCATGAGCAAGATGGATTCTTTCCTTTCCTAGAACCTACACAAAAGTTATAACATTATTTAGCTTGTGATTTTTATATTAATCTTATTAAACTTATGTAAATATTTTCTTATTTTCTCTTTGATTGTAGTGCTCTATTTGGGATATGTTTTCTTAACTTTCAACCCATTATTAAATTTGACAAAATTATATTGATAAAGTTGCCCCTTTTATCTTTTCAGAAATATAAAGATCTCATTCTAATGATTTTTGGTTTATTTTATATTAAATTTACAAGTTAGTAACTTTTAGCTGTCACTTTCAGAACCACTCAACACTCTTGGAATAAACTGTACCAATCTACTAAGAATTACACCAGTCCCTTTATATATGACAAACTATACATCCATATCTAACTATAGGCTTTGGAATTTGTCATTTATAGTTTTGATGAATTTATTATGATTTTTTGAAGACAAGACATGAAATTTGTGATAACATGGACCAACCTAAGAAGATTGCCAATTTCACCCCATAAAGAGTTGGAATTTCGAATTCTGATTCAGATTTTGTAGAAACTAGACACATTAAGATTTCTAGAAAACTAAGTCTTGTGATTTTTAGGTGTCCTAATTGAATTGCACGAATTTTTGAAGTTGGAGGAGATTTGGGAAAACTGATCATAATAGCTTTTAAATGCCTTTTGGTGTTCTATTAAGGAATTAATGGTTAAGCCTTAAGTTTATCATTTTTAACATGATTGTTGATTACTTACTTAGGCTATTGAGATGTGAAATTCAATTTAACATAAGGGCCTTAATGCTTGGCTTGATAAGGGTTCAAAGTTATGGATTTTCACATAAAATGCTACTTTTACACTTATTAGGTTCTTTCAGACAATATGACAAACACCTTGTGTGCATGAAATCCTACAGTGGCAATCAACTCTCTAATAGACTCCAATCCATCCCCTAGAGCCTACTTTTCTCAATAAAAACAATCCAACTATACACATAATTCCTCACAAAAACAAGTGAATAAACAAGCAAGTTTATAATTCATCAACAACAAGAAAACCATAAATTTTCAAATAAAACGTCTTCTTATGTGAAATCAAGTATTTGACACTAGATTAGTTGTTCATTATAAGCTTAATTTCATGAATTTTATTATAAATTGAGTCAATTTACGTCGAAAAACGCAGGTGTACATACTTGAAAAAAATACTACCTGGAAGCTCTCATAGATCATGTTTGTAGACATCAACTTTACTATGGTGGCCTGGTTAAATAGGGTTACTTGCTTCTGATTTTTGTGGAGAGACGGTGGATTATAGAGGATGAAGATGAACAATTTTTTTATATGGCTTTAAAATGAAGAAATCGAGTCCAATTGCTCGGTGATTTGGTACCACCAAATCATAAGGATATGATTGCCACTAGAACCAGATCGAGAAACATACTCGTTGGAGAGAAAGAGACGGACAAACATTGTTTCCTAATATGGAAGGAGTAGAGGCCGGGGGGGGGGGAGTAAAGAGGCAACGATCGGTTATTCCGACGACATTCTGGTGACTAGGGCGATGGTCCGTTGGACTCAGGTGTTCCATCTTCAAACGAGAGAAAGGGACTTCCAATAGAGCGGGTGGGTGTGGATGGAATTGAACTTTTTTTTTTTATATGTTTGAAGGTTTGAATTGTTCTCAAATTAAGAAAAGTTCTCATTTGAACACACATTCATATATATATATATATATATATATATATATATATATATATATATATATATATATATATATATAGTTGTGGTTGAAAAAGGGAAATAAAGAACCAATTTGATCACGTGGCATGTTGTTAGGAACGCACCAATATTGTCAATTTTATACTTACTAGTTGTAAAATTCATGTATTACATAGGTTAACTAAAAAAAAGTTAAATATAAATGTCAAAATATTTGAGAACTTTGCATTTATAAGAAAATAAGAAAAATAATGAATTATTATAATGGAAATATTTTTTATCTTTTAAATTTAAACAAATAATTTAAATAATAAAAAAAACTAATGAAATTTAATTTTGGAAATTTTGAAATTAAAAAGTAAGTTTATTAATTAAATTAATACTCATTTATTGCTACATTTATTGCAAGTATTACATTAAATATTATGTGAAATTTAATAAAATAGAAAAACTCATAAAATGACATGTGGAAAAAAAATTAATTTAAAATAACCACAAATTGACATTTAGCAAGTTAGAATAAGAGTGTGACAAGTGACAAGTAAACTTTTATTTATTAGAGAGGATTTAATTATATATTTTAAAACTAGTTTATAACTCGTGGAAACTACGGTTACAAAATTAATTAAACTTTCAGAATAAAAACTGAAAATTATTAATCAATTATCTTAAATAAGTTATTAATTAAGAGATTTTATTTTAAATATATAAAATTATAATTGTTGATTTGAATAAATATGTAACTTTATAATCTGTATTAATTTTATTTTAATTTTTATTCTAATGTTATTAATTTAATGTAACTAGAGGAGAGAATTTAAAATTTGAAATTTGAAAGTGAGAATGAAAGGCTATAAATGACATAATGATACAACCAATTAAATGGATGGCGAGTCCCCTGTAGAAACTAGAGATGAGAGATAGATAAACAAGACGATATTAAGACAGTTTTTCTGCTTAATTCTTAATCAAAATGCAGGTTACAATTCATGGAAATCTTAAACTATTTGTTAACTAAAATTAAGGGAAACATGCATACTGGAATTAAATCGTGAGTCCTAAACTAATGCAAGAAACTTTTAGTGGCAATTGAGTATGACCAAGTCTTTATGCACGTGACTTGACCACTATTCTAGTTTGACTCATGCACATGGAATGTGTTTGTATCAATACTCTGTCCCTGAAAAATGGACTTGTCCTCAAGGCCAAAATCGGTCTGTGTAATGTAAGGCCAAGGTGGACTTGTCTCCGATTGAAGGAGAAGGAATTTCGGTGGGTTGCATTGGTGACCCGGTTGATATTTGGTGGGACAATTGTAACAAAGGCCTTCGGCCAGACGTTTTTGCATTTCAGCAGGGGTCAATTTCTTAATCGGGAGTGGTGGGTTAGGCGAAGAGGGGGCAGCCAACAAAGGTGGGTCCGTTGGTGGAGGGTCGGGGGGACCCTCAGGCGACAAGAATTGAGCATGAAGCTTGTCTTCCACTAGTTTAGCGAGACCATAGGCTTGATAGAGAGACGTGGGGTGGTGTAGAGCAATTTCATTTTGGATGTCGACCTTTAAACCGGAAAGAAAATAGTTAAGAAGGGCCTCGTTTCCCAAACTTGTGACACAATTGCTAATTTTCTCAAAGGTCGTTTGGTAGGCAGAGACTTAGGTCATTTGTTAGAGCTTGAACAAGGTGGCTTGGTGATTCTCATACATGGAAGGGCCAAAGCAAAGTTCCAAAGAGCGGGAAAATTATGGCCAATTTCCCAACAGTTGATTGTTTGCGAGATGTTTATACCAACTTAATGTGTCTCCGATGAAATAGAAGACAACAAGAGCAACTCGTTGAGTGACAATAACAACATAATACTCAAAATAGTTGTTTGCTTGGAACAACCAATCAAGAGGGTTGGTACCGTTGAAGTTGGGAAGGAGGATTTTGGGTGGTCAGATGTTCTGGTTGTTAGGGCGCGGGGGCAGTGGTGGCGGTGGTGGAGTCTGGGTGACGCGTTGATTGGTCGTATGTTGGATCAATTGATCCAACTTGGTGTCGATGACAATTGAGCGATATGGATCATGTGTGCTTGAAGGGCGGCGATGGGATTTCCAGCATTGTCGTGGCTTCCTGCTTTTGGAGGCATGGTGTTGTCGAAGGTGGAGCCGAACTCGGTATTTAGAAGCATTGAGATGATGATGAAAGCACAAGTTGATATAGCAAATTAAATGGATGACAAGTCCCCTGTAGAAACTAGAGATGAGAGATAGATAAACAAGACGATATTAAGACAATTTTTCTGCTTAATTCTTAATCAAAATGCTGGTTACAATTTATGGAAATCTTAAACTATTTGCTAACTAAAATTAAGGGAAACATGCATACTGGAATTAAATCGTGAGTCCTAAACTAATGCAAGAAACTTTTAGTGGCAATTGAATATGACCAAATCTTTATGCAGGTGACTCGACCACTCTTCTAGTTTGACTCCTATACATGGAATGTGTTTGTATCACATAACATTGATTAGAATATAACATTAATTAGAATGACTATCAAGATGACTTATTGTAAAAAGAGAATAAATTTTTTTTTTATTAGAATAAAAAAACATGGAGATTAAAATCTCATTTATGATTCAACCGGTGCACATAGTGTAAAATTCGGCTAATTCGAATGTATTCAATTCCTTTTTTTTTTTATCTGTTCATAGAAGAGAAATCGATATTGTGGAATTTTGTATATAAGAAAATCGATATTATAGCAATTCTTTTACGTACCCCAAATGTGTGTATCCCCTCTATCTGAGGGGGAATAGTGTTTTTGTGTACCCGTATTTATAGCACTAACCCTTTATTATTTATAGCCCCACTACCCACTACTCGTGCTGCTGCTCACATCTGGAAGGATCATCCTCATTCTCAGCCCTCTTTCTGTGAATTGAAGTTGCAGAAACCTGTCGACACATGAACCAATAATATTACTGCTTGTTTGCATACCATAATCGAATCATGGCCATTAAACTCTATGGTTCCCTTCTTTCAACCGCAACTAACCGAGTCAGGGCTGTCCTCGCTGAGAAGGATATTGAGTACGAGTTCATAACCATCGACATGGCCACCGGAGAACACAAGAAACCTGAATTTCTTTCTCGTAACGTAAGTAAAACCTAATTTATCTAATACTATCGTAGAATGTTCGAATTTCATTTATTGTATCTCTCTCTCTCTCTCTTTCTCTACTTCTGCAGCCCTTCGGCCAAGTTCCAGCGTTTGAGGATGGTGATCTCAAGATGTTCGGTAATCGATTTTAGTTTGTATAAGGAATTCATATCGTTTCAAATGATTTGTAGGTTGTAAATTATAATGAAATCATTAGGACTTTGATGAAGTAATTAATTTGGTTCAGAATCAAGGGCGATTACTCAATACATAGCACACGCGTACCCTAATAAGGGGAACGATCTGATATTCGAGGATCCGAAGAAAATGGCGATAGTGGCAGTGTGGATGGAAGTGGAATCCCAGAAATATGAACCGATAGCTTCGAAATTGGTGTGGGAGCTTCTTTTGATACCGATGTATGGGAAGACTCCCGACGAAGCGATAGTGAAAGAGTATGAGGCTAAAATGGAGGAGTTGCTTGTCGTGTACGAATCACGGCTGTCGGAGAGCAAGTATTTGGGCGGAGATTGCTTCACGTTGGTGGATCTCCACCACCTCCCTACCTTAAAGTGCTTGATGGGGACACGGGTGAAGAAGTTGTTTGACGCGCGGCCGAAGGTCAGCGCGTGGGCTGCAGAAATCCAGTCAAGGCCTGCCTGGATTAAAGCGATTACCGCCTAAGCAAAGCAACCACAACGAGGTCTTAAATCTTAATTTTGTTATTGATGAGATTTTGATGTTCGTACTGCGTGTGTATGTGCAATGTTTCTGTTGCCCTTTCAACAAATAATAAAAATAATTTTGATTATTGAAATAATCTGAGTTATTAGATGTGTAAACACCAAATTTTATTGTTTGATGTAGAAAAAAAAATAGTATTTAGATTTAGATCTAATAAATACAGTGCAATTGTGTCGAATTGAAACATTAAACACATTCAAATTGAAACACGATATTCCTTCAAAAAAACGTTTTTTGTAATGAAAATGACTTGAAATTTTGTTATGGACCGATCTGCCTATTTGGCTGGATGGACGGGAAATTAGTGGTTATTCGAATCTTTTGCTTAATTTGCTTTATGAGTAGACGGGTAAATTGGCTTTTTTTTTTTTTTTTTTTTTTTTTTTTTTTTTTTTTCCTTTTAAACGAAATAAAAAGGATTTTGTTTGATTTTTTAAAAGAGAGACAACAATCTTAAATTAAGTAGTGAAAACAGCTTGTGTTTGTGTATTTAAAAACATTTTTTAAAACAGTTTTTTGGATAGGTAAAAATAAAGCTTTCAAAAAGCTAGAAATCATAGCTTTTTAGTTTTTTTTAAACATTTTACTTCTGAAAAACAGTTTTTCTTATTCAAACACTTTTAAAAACAATTTTTCCTAAAAATCATAAGTCAATAAACATTTTTCTCAAAAATCATTTTTATCATAAATAAAACTAACTCAAACACATCCTAAAAATAAATAAACATTTTTCTTAAAAATTATTTTTATCATAAATAAAACTAACTCAAACACATCCTAAAAATAGAAACGTACATGAAACCCTTTCTTAAAAAGACATGCGGATAATGTATGTTTATGCTCAACTTAACAAATGGGTGATAAATTTTATAAAGAAATGATAGACATGTCACGTGTGTGCGTGGTGGGTCAACCATTAAAAGTCGGTCGTGGTAGATATTTATTTAAGGTCATGCGGTATGGTCACTAGGTATTCACTAGAAAATTGATATCATCTATGTACCACATCACTCCACTTACATGTTCACTATATGTTTACTAATCATTAGAAATGGTTATCACTCCACATTGTTTTTCTTTATTTATTTATTATTACTATTTTTACATTATATTAAATAAAAAACACAATAAAACATTAATAAAAAAACATATAAATAAAAATACAAATAATAGTTTTAAATTCTACATACATGCTTACTAATAATATAAACATTGATAAACATAAAATTGATATTTTTTTTTAAAATTCAACGTACATTTTACTAATAACATAAAAATTAATAAAAAACATTAAAAAAAAACTACTCATTTGCATCGTTGTCCTCATCGTCCACATCCTCATCCAGTTCGTTTTCGTCTTCAAATTGTCGTTGCCATATGTGCTCAGTCAAATCTTGACGTAGATTGTGACGTATTTCACTATTCTGTATTTCTAAAAGCCTTGTAAAGTATGTTAGGTTGCCGACTTGTATTACTGCAGGTGGATTGAGCACATCATTCGGAGTATACGTACAAATAGCCTTACCCTCTTCTTCTAGTATCATGTTATGTAAAATAATACACGCCTTCATCACCTTCATTAATTTTTCCCTTTCTCATGCTCGTGCTGGATATTTGATTATATGTCACTTCTGTTTGAGGATCCCAAACGCTCGCTCCACATCCTTCCTTACAGATTCTTGTACTAGTTTGAACAATTTCTTTTTTTCATCAGCTGGATATGTGTATGACTTGACAAATGTAGCGTACTTTGGATATATCCCATCAGTAGGATAATATCCATGATTGTATTCACGTCCATTAATAACGTATGGCATGTTTGGTACTTTACCTTGCAAAATATCATTAAATAATGGAGATGCTCCAAGCACATTCAGGTCGTTGTTTGATCCTGTCATACAAAAAAATGCATGCCAAAACCAGAGGTCCTTTGAAACAACTGCTTCTAGTATAACAATAGGCGCACCATGATCACCTCGTGTGAATTGCCCTTGGCATGCATTGGGACAATTTTCCCACACCTAATGTGTACAATCAATGCTACCTAGCATTCCTGGAAATCCATGTTTAGCCTGATGTGCGACATACAACTGTTCGACATCACTTCTGGTCGGATTTCGCAAGTATATGTCGCCATAAATCTCTATAACATACTCACAAAAAATATATGTGCATTCTTGACTGGTCCTCGCAGACATCTTCAAATATTCATCTGAAGTGTGTGCGACTATGTCGTACGCTAATTGTCTAAGAGTTGTAGTGCATTTTTGAAACGTAGTAAACCCACATTTACCCCTAGCATCCCATCTCAATTGGAAGAACTCATAATTGTTTTCCAAATCTCTAGCTATACGTAGGAATAAACTTCTACTGATACGAAAGTGATCCTCAAACTTCAATAGGTCGTATAACTATCAAGGTTAAAGTAATCACGTACCAAAAGTTCGTTCGCCGCCTCTCGATCCCGGTTGATGTATTTTCTTTGTTTCTTCTCGACATTTAAAGTTTCGCCTCTCTGACGTACAATGTCGTATGCTGTAGACAACAACAACATGTGCATAACTAACTCATCATCATAAGAATCTTCATTAGATGAAGAAGAAGAAGAAATGTCATCCAAAAAATTAGTCAAAATATGTGATATGTATTATGTTTGTATATATAGGTGAGGTTTTAGTTTTGAAAAGATTTTTTAAATAAATATTAACGGTCAAAATGGAGTAAATGGGAGAAAACGGTCAAAAAGCGAGGCATCCAATCAAATTGCATGTAACCACCCGTGAACCATGTCACTCCGCGTCACATTCACCAGGGAGGGGGGCGGTGTTCACGCGTAAACACCCCCTCCACGTCACCCTTTACGCATCAAAAAACCCTCCATACCCGGTGGCCTAAAACGTTTATTTTTCAACTATAACTTGTTAAATTATTTGGAAATAAATTAGATTTAGATAAATAAATAAGAAACGACTCGACTTTGGTTCTTAAGGATGAGTCATGATTATGAATGGGTGATGATTACTATGATGGGGGTTAGACTAAGGGCGTATTTGGTACGAAGTTTTTGCAAGCTTCTAATACCTAAGGTTTAATAAAACCAGGGTCGGTCCATTTGATTTTATTGTCTAGGGAAAAAATAAAATTTTCATGCCCTTATATACTGTATGAAAAAGATATACATATATATATATATATATATATATATATATATATATATATATATATATATATATATATATATAAAGTTTATAAAATCAAAATTGCCATAAATTTTATAATCAAACAAATAATACAAACAAAGACCTACAAAAATCATTTAAAACGATATTTTAATGTATTTTTTGAAGCCAAAACATTTCTTATTTTACAATAATTAATATTTTGTAAAAAATACATTCAATACTTAAAATTGTTAATCTAACTTCTTAATGCCTCAAGACCTTCTAGAGCATGCATGGAGAAAAACTAAGCATCAAGACAACATTTTTATAACTCAAGACCCCTGATAAGGTATGAAAGGATGACTTATTTGGTTAAGAGCATGTCATGCTCAAGAATCATCATATTTGGGACCAAAAGTATCCTAAATGAAGAAATGAATAGATCTACAAGATAAGATGATCAAGTTATGAGCTTTTTATCTCCTGGAGGTTGCTAACGAGAGAACCCTAGATCCAAGTTGCTTCCAATCTTCAAAGTCCTTGTATCAACTTCTTCTTATTATTCAAGAACACCACCAAAGCACACAAATGAGCTTAAAATGCACTCCTCACTTAGAGTTTGCTAGAGGGACGTTTTCTTAGATGGAGGTTGATGAGGGAATGAGAAATGAGGTGATAATGATGCTTGCATATGTACCAAACCCTAAAAATTTGGGTTTAAAGTTTTCTCACGTATGCTCTGCGTACACGGTGTATGCCCAGCGTACTAGGGTCTGCCCCAGTATGCTCCACATACACAATGTACGCCCAGTGTACTACCCCTTTGTCCAAAATCACCAAAATCCCACTATGGGCCATTTTGCAATCTTTATCAAACCTAAGGGTCAAAATGCAATATTCTTTCATACTTAGGTTAAAAATTGAAAATACCCCATCTTTGGGATGTTACACAGATATCACATAGCCACACAAAGGGGTAGTACGCACAACGTACTACCCCTTTCTCCAAAATCACAAAGATGCCACTATGGGCCATTTTGCAATCTTTCTTAGACCCAAGGGTCAAAATGCAATATTTGTTCATACTTAGGTTTAAAATTGAAAATACCCTATCATCGGGATGTTAGACAGATATCACGTAGCAACACAAAACTATATCGTCATTTTGAAAAAAACTCACACGACACTTGTATAATGCTTGTGAGATAAAAGATACCTAATCACTTGTATTATATTTTGATGATCAATGTGGTTTTGTAATTTCTAGTAAAATAAAGGATATCTAACCACTAGTTATGTATCACTTCCATATGTTCTTCAAATTGGATGATTTGATTGGAAATCTTTTACGATAAAGGATACCTAAGTTTAAGAAGATGAGACATAGATGGGATCAAACATGTCAATTGTCAAAAAGTTGTTAGCGATCCCATTAACGCCCGCAAGATAGGGCCATATGATTAAAGAATAATAAGATAATTATTCATGACAATACATTGTTGATGGAAGCATGGGCATGAACATCGAGATTGACCAGCTTCTTGTAATCTTCATTGTATGCATGAGCAGGATTTCTTTTTAGTTCACCACGAACACCATATTTTGTCTCAGCACCCTTTTTGATGATGTCAAACATGTTATGGGGACAACCATAGCCTTTCTTTTCCACATAGTGAAGTTTTTCTCATCGAAAAGTGGAATTTTGTGTGCATAAGTAGATCCATAGGTTGGTTTTAAATAACTAGTGGAGGTAGACATTGATTGAAGTAATCAGAAAATCTGCTTTGATACCAATTGAAGGATCATAAAGATTAAAATTAAGTAATAACGAACAAATATTAATCAATTTTTTTATTAATAACTCTAATATAGAGAGAGTGCATAAAGTCGTAACTTTTATAATAACCTTGGCACTACTTATATCCAATGAATTACAAAGCAAATGGAAATCCTTACAAAGATTTAAAATAAAACTA